AATAATGCTGGTTAAACTATCTTAGTATTTGCTCTTTAAAATTAATATATCTGAATGTAGCAACAATTATTGATTATGTATACTGGAACTTTTATAGCATTGGTATAACTACTATATGCCAACACACTACATATTGGTTATTAAGTACATACTTGTAATTTTTGACATAGACAAATTAAAAAACTAAAAATTTCTAGTAAAAATTTCGTGCTTTTAGATTAGAGAAGAAACTTGCAATTAAGTTAGAGTTCAAAAATATTATTTATATAATAAATTTTACAACACTTAAATTAGTTTTATAGACTAATTTTTTAGTTATAAGGCAAGACCAATTTGATTCTGCATTTTACATTATCTCCTCACCTTCCTTCTAATAAATTTTATATATGATATAGTCAATCACCCTCTCCAGGAGGGAGAGGAGGTAATTTAAAACACAGAATCAAGTTGGTCTCATCTAAACATTATAGCTGGTCTTGAAATTTGGTTGGTTAGCAAAACCTTTTAACTCTAATCCTGGGGTCCGCATAATTCACATAATTTACGATTTGCCACACGCATAATTTTGCAATTACCGGTGCATAATCCTGGACACTCTAGTTAAGGGTCTAAGTGGGTTTATCGGTGTCATATAATAGCTGTAACGCGACATGATGGCCATGATGCGAGTAATATGTATATATGAATTAGGTTCTAACATTTATATTACATGTCCCTCTCCTTTAAATCACAAGGCCTCCGAGTGTAATATTAAGTGTCTAATCGGTAAGCTCCAATGTGCTCTTTCTTTAAACTTCGATTTTTTTTTTTTTACACAAATATCATTGGTTCCCAGTTGGGACGATTATAGTATCTCTTAAGTCAATCTGTATTTATTAAGTTTTTAAAGACTTTCTCTTCAATCGTTCTTAGCTTGTAGGTTCTTGGAGCTCCATAATCATAAATAAAATAGGGGCCTTTCCATTTCTCTCGAAGTTTGTTACTGTATACTTTTTCGTTTGCAGATTTGTAAAGAAGAACTTGATCATCGATTTTAAATTCAATAGACTTTATATTCTTATCATAGTATCCTTTTTGCTTTTCTTGTGCGTTTTTAATATTAGTTTGTGCTTGCAGTCGTTGTTGGTTTAACTGTTTAGTGATCTTTTCAATATGCTGGTCCAGAGCCTGTTCTAGTGTTGTTTCTGGGCTTTCATTTGCTTTCATTTCCAGTTTTCAGTTGTAGATCTAGAGGTACCGTAGCTTGTCTGCTATAAAAGAGGTTATATTTAGTAGTGTAATTTTGCAGGGTTCTATATGCAAAAAGAGCTGCCAGTAATAGAGTATCCCAGGTAGTTTTGTGGTCACCCACCAACTTTGCTAAAGTGGAGCACAAAGTTTTATTGAATCTTTCAGTTAAGCCATTTGTTTGGGGGTGGTAGGCGGCTGCTAACTTATGTTAGATGGTCATTATTTTGCATAAAGCATCAACAATCTCGTTACAAAAGGAATGGCCTTGATCTGATAGTAGGGTTCGAGAACAGCTGTGGTAACAAATAATGTCCTCGTAAATAAACTTGGCGATAGTGGGTACGGTCATGTTAGAAATAGCGTGGGCTTCTGGCCACTTTGTCAAGTATTTAGTGGCTATGACTATGTATCTATTGTTACTCTTGGTGATATCTTTGAATAGGCCCACTATGTCAATGCCTACCCGATCGAAAGGTCCTCTGACTCTTAGGGGATATAATTCTATATGAGGTCAAGAGGCTCCTTGTCATTGGCACACATCATAGATCTGTATATAATCAGAAATGATTTTGTACATATGTGGCCAGAAATACTTTCCTTTGGCTCTATTGTAGATCGATTCTACCCCAAAATATCCAGCCGTGATGTCTGAATGGAGTCTATATAGCACCTTTTCTAATTTGGTTTCTTTGATTAGGGGTCCACACTGATCTTTATTTTTTTGATAAAGAAGGTCTTTATAAATGCAGTAATAAGTAGCTTGTTTTCTAAATTTCTTTTGTTGAAATATATCTTGGTGCTCAGGAACTTCTGCAGTTTTGAGGTATAGCTTAAGTTGTTGATAGTACTGTAGATCCATACTTTTTTTTTTTTTTTATATATATTATTCCTAGTTTCTTATTATTTTAAATCTTAAAATTGCCAGGACACTGGTAACCTGGGCTGGATTGGGTCTGGATTTTAATTTAAAGACTTTGAAGATTGTTAGTAATCTTATTATTATTTATTATGCTTTGTATATTTATTAATTTTTCACTTTTTTTTCCTCACAGTAGTCTGTGAGGAATTCTTGACAGAGCGTCCATGTTGGCATGGATGGAACCTTTTCTGTATTATATAGTATACAGATATTCGGCAGCAATCATAATCCAGTGGGCTAGCCTTCTGGTAGGGTTTGGGTTAAACAACAACCATTTAAGAGCTTGATGATCTGTTATCAATTTAAATTTTTTCCCATAAATATAGAGACAGAAATATTGCATGGCCTAAATAGCGGCTAAACATTCAATTTCTGTTGCCGAGTAATTTATTTTGGGACCGTTTAGTCCTTGACTTGCATAGGCAACTACGTATTCTTTTTTATTGTCTTTTTGAGCTAGTATTGCTCCTAATCCCTTATACGAGGCATCTGTATGAAGTATAAAAGGCTCCTGAAAGTTAGAGTGTCTCAGAATTGGTGCCGTTATTAGTCTCTGTTTTAATCATTCAAAGGCCTTCGTGCATTGTTCGTCCCAATCAAAAGAGACATTTTTCTTTAATAGGTTGTGCAGCGGATATATGATTTTAAAAAAATTTTCGATAAATTTCCTGTAATACGAGGATAGACCAATAAACTCTCGAAGCTCCATAAGATTAGTTGGGGTAGGAAAGTCTCACACTTTCTTGATTTTTTCTGGGTCTGGGGCGATACCCTTTTTGCTCATAACGTGTTCTAGAAATACCAGTTGTTTTTTAAAAAAAATGATATTTATCTTTTCCCAGACGTAATCTGGCCCTTTTTAGGAGGTTGAAGACTTGTTGAAGGTAGCATAAATGTTCCTCAAATGTTTCTGAGTATACATTGATATCATCGAGGTACACAAGTACAAACTTCACAATAACTTTTTTAAGATCTTATTCATCAGCTGCTAGAATGTTTCCGATGCATTTGTCAATCCAAACAGCATAACCAAGAATTCATACAACCCATTCTTGGTTACAAAGGTGGTTTTTTCATGATCCTGAGGGCACATTTCGATTTGCCAATAACTGCTAGCCAAATATAAAGTTGTAAACCACTTTGATTTGTGCAGAAAACTCAGGATATTATCTATACATAGTAATGAGTATGAATCTTTCCATGTTAAAGTATTCAACTTTCGGTAATCCATGCAAAATCGGGTCTTACTATTTTTCTTTTTCACAAATACCACAGGAGAACTCCAGGGACTATCTGACTTCTGAATTATGCCATGCTTCAACATTTGGTCTACCTCTTTTTCGATAAATTCATTTTCAGTATGGGATATGCGATAGGATCTTTGTTTAATTAGGTGGGCATCTTCTATCAGTAGAATTCGATGTTCTTCGATTTTTGTTCTGTCTAGTTGGATCAATCCTTCTGCAAACAAATCATCGTTTGCGTCTAATAACTCTCTCACTTTTGTTTGTTGTTTCTCTTCCAATTTTCCGATGCCCTTACCATCTTTTTCTATGCCTAACTCTTCATTTAAATCTTCCACTAGACATTTTAAAGTCTCTATCTCTTCTATTATTCCTTTGCAGTCACTGCATTCGTCTTCTATTTTATCTAAACATTTTTCACACCAACATATAGCATTCGGGCCATTCCATCGACGTTGAGCCTTTCTATTATTAAATCGTTCCTTACTTTCATCTCTCAACCTTCTATAGTCTTTTATTGTTTTTTCGTTTTCTTCGATTTTAACCCTACTTCTGTCTATTTCTATAATAGAGGGTTCGTCCTCATTCCCCTGTACAATGTAACTTCTTTTCTCTACAGGTTTATTAAGTTCATACTCCTCTTCACTTCATTATTATCATTGCTCTTACTTGCCCGATTTTTCTGGTTTTCTAATGACGTTGGCATCCCTTAATCATATGTCATCCTTTTCCAGCAGGTAATAGGCATTCTATATTTTTCGTTTTTCCATTCATATTCCAAAATTCCATCTTTTAAATTTATATTTCCTTTTACTTTAGCCAGCTAATCAGTTCCTACTATTACAGTATAGTCACGAGCTCCTGTTACTTCTACATCTATCGGTATTTCCACATCTTTTACCCGGATGGGTAAGTTCTCAACCACCCCTAATGGGTACTTTCTTTGTCTATGTACGTCCACTAAATTCCTTGTCGAAGGTTTATTGATATCTTTTCCAATTTTCTTTAGGAATTCATGGGATACCAGACTTCTGCTGGATCCCATGTCTAAAATCAAATAAATTGGATACTGGTCCACAGTAGCCTCGCAATAGGTTACTTCTATGGGTTGAGGAGAAATGTCCTGCACTTCTATATTACTATTTAATACCAAAGATAACAGTAATTCCGTAGGTATTGGTTGGTTTAATAAACTAAAATTTTCATTTGAGGGGTCTATTAAGTTTTCTTCTTCGCTATTCTCACCCTCGCGAGAAGTGGCCCAGACTAGTTTAAATGCTCTCTAATGGCTGCTCCTGTTAGATCCTCAGCTGACAGGGCAAAGTAAGTTTGATTTTTGTTGTTCCTATTTTGGGTAGTATTACTTTCATTATGTGTATTACCATTATTATGATTGACCCAATTATTGTATTGAGCTATTCCAGCATGATTCTGATTATTATTTGTTTTTCCAGATCTATTCTACTGGGTGGTCTGTTGATAACGTCCTGTACCATGGTTGTTATTGTTATTAAAGGCCCGTCTGGTCCACGTGGGGCACTCTCTTGCAATATAACCACGGCCTCCACATTCGTAACAGCCACTGTTAGAAATGGCTTTCTTTAACTTATTTATTTCTTTATTTACAGGACTTTCTCTATTTAGGTAGCTTCTCTTTAGTGAATAAGAGCTTAGTGGGCCTCCCAGAAGTACGCTGCTTCTGCAGCTTTCGCTTTCTCTACGGCTTGTTGGACTGTTGTAGGGCATTCCATCTTTACTGGTTCTCTTAACTCTTGTCTCAACCCATCGACGAATTGCCTAATACGGTCCATCTGAGGATATTGTCACATAGGGTTGGCTTTGTAGTAAAGTTTTTCTAACGCATTATAATATTCATCTACTGTTTTGCCCAATTCTTGTTGCCTGGACCGAAGTTCAGACACTCATCGATTCTGTTGATGCATGGTGCAGAACTGTTGTTGGAACAGGTACACAAAGGAATGTTGTAGTTAGGTGCAGTCGTCTCATGCTCATATGTTGTATGCTGTATTTCTCCATCATGTATAAGCTGTCCCTTTTAAGTGCAAGGGTAGGATATCAAATCTCCTCTGCTCTGAAATGTGATTGGCAATACACGCCTCGTCAAATTCGTCTAGCCACGTGAAGGGTCTTGATCACCACCACCAAAGGTGGGAAACTTGACTACTTTGGCTTCTCGGGGCTGGTTCGCATTATTTCTCATAGCAAGTATGAGGTTATTCATACTTTGTAGTAGTTGCTTTATCAGGTTTGCTGCAGTGGCTCCAGGAGCTGGTTGTGGCTGAGGTTGAGGTGGTCAATTAAAGCATGGAGGTTGTGGTTGCCTATTTACCAGACATATTTGAAGTGGTGAAGTTTGAGTAGAAGTGTGAAGAATTCTTTATGGGGTGGACTATCTTCAAATTGTACGTAGGGTGTTTGTAGGAAGTGGTTTTCTTCCGGCCCAGTCTCCGGTTCTAATAGGTCTACTATAGGTTCATTACCGACTTGGAGTCTTTGATATCCATGGGCGTAGGTTCTTTCGGTTCTTCGGTGAAGATATCAATCTTCATATTCTTCTTGATAATCATTACATTACATCTGTAGAGATTATCCACCACGATGTTATGCAAAGGTAAAAGCAGAACAGAGTTTTCCAGGTCGTGGATTACAAGTTGTTTGTTGAAATCGTAATTGGTATCTTCGTGTTCAATTTGGTAAGGCATTGGGGAAGAATATATGTATCGAATTGGTTGGTCTTCTGGTACTTCTGTTAGTGTCCTAGGATCTTCTAAACTAATAAGGTCATCTTGAGT